CACACACACACGACACACAACATATATATATAAACTATATATAATATATATAAAACTAACTACACAACACAACAATATATATATATATATATATATATATATATATATATATATATATATATATATACACACACACACACATATATATATATGGTGTGTCCATAAAATAATGTAGTAACATTCACAGGGATCATTGCTAGTGTGATGGTCTGCACTTTCATATACACAAGTCTGGGTATAGAACAAAAGTTGTGGAGCATACCGAGAAACTTTTGCTTTGAGGCGGTTTGGCATCATTTTCATGTTTCTCGTCTGTTTTCCTTTCCGTATCCGGCTTTGTGCAATATTGGTTGCGGGTACTGATCAGAGGTGCTGATCTATAGTCAAACTGTCTCGTGGTCGGTCTCAGGGTTTCTCTAAATGTCCTCGCCACGGTTAGCTGGGTGTACTGCCTACTAATTAAGCTCTTGGGCACTTTTGTATTTTCTAATATCCCAGATCGACTCAGCCAACTTACCTGCCGGGTCCTACTATTTAACGCGGTCAGAAATGAGGTCGACGGTCGTACATTAATTGCAAATGTGCCTGTGTATGCGCGTTTTGCGACGTGATGTGCATCGTGAAACAGTGCTCGAGGAAGCAATCTATCGATCCTTCCACAAGGAATATTCCTAGCGAGATTGACTGCCATCTTTTTGTATCAAGCTAGTCTGCATCACAAACAACTCGGATTGTCAATAGCGCTCATCTATATATTTACTTGCAGCATGTTTATAAATGATGTATACGCCATTCCGACCCTCAATACGTTTTGCGTTGAAACGTATAAACTTGAATAATTCACGTTTACGTTCAACGGTTCAACGTTATACCAGGACGCCTCCATGGGTGTCGCTAATTCGCTATGCGTGCTGGCCTGCTGGGGCCTCCGCCTGAGCCCTGGCCCCTGGGTTCAAAGTTTTGAAGAGTTGCTCTCTCTCTCTGAGTAAATATTAGGTGCATAACTTTTCTTTCTAGTCGTTCGACCCGAATAATTCAAACGGGTTAAAGTTTATCAATCGAGCAGATAAGCGTTAGTATTATCAACCTATAAATCACCCCAGATTAAACGGATTAAAGTTAGCGACTCAGCGCCATAAGCCCATTCTTTACTTACCAATCGCGTGCATGAATGCGTGATTCATCAGCAAAAGCCAGAAGGCCATGGAAACTGATAAGTTTCCGCCGATATTTCTATAAAAAATAAGTCTAATCACATCACGTTTTCTTAAAATAAATCGGCCAAGATTTCTATAAAAAATATGTCTAATCACATCACGTTTTCTTGAAATAAATCCGCCTATATTTCTATAAAAAGTAAGTCTAATCACATCACGTTTTCCTGAAATAAATCCGCCGATATTTCAATAAAAAATAAGTCGAATCACATCACGTTTTCTTGAAACAAATAATCACACTGCCCATTGGTTTTTTTTAATTCTCGGCCGACACGTTCACCATAAATAAATACCCCAAACTCACACATTACAGGGTCAAAGCAAGCCAGAGTCCACCAGCAGCATCCCCAAGCCGAAAGGTTGGGATCCGGATTCAGGATTTGGGACTGGGACGGAGTGCCGGAGTCTGGGACTGGGACGGAGTGCCGGAGTCTGGGACTGAGAGTCTGAGACACAGGGACAGTCGGACAGGCGACAGCAAGGTCATTTTTTTAATTTAGTGATAAAATATAAATCGAACTATATCGCAGATCTGAGAAATATTCGACACAAAAGAGTCATTGTATTTTGAAAGACTGCTGGTCCCAGACTCCCGAGTCCCGGAGACCCGGACTGCAGGAAGAGTATGTACAAAGTGTATGATATATTTACATAAAGTATGTATATATATATATATATATGTGATGTATTCATATATATCCACATCCGTGTAGATATATTAAAGATACTTTACAATACTTCATGCTATCTACGTGCAGTCGTTGGCGATAGAAGTATCATGCTGTAGATTTCCTATAGTCTATGTGTGTTTATAGTCTGGGATATAATATCATAGCATTTGTGGTGGCCCTGAGAGTGTGATTGTACTCGTTTGCAGTTATTATATATTAGGTATCCCACGTGTACTATCACCTTTCATATTTGCGTACAAAAAGATTTGTGGGTCTTTAGAGTGAGCATATATATTGAGCGGGATGACTTATACGGAATAAGCACATTGGTCAAGAAGCTTGTAATATAGTGATTGATATCATTAGACAATGTCACGATGGATACGTTCAATATCGCTGGGAAATGGCATGAGCTCTCATTTTTCCGAGGACGAGAACGAACAAAATGATACCGAAATGTCTCCTACAGAAACACTCACGCGGCAACATACGCAACAGAACACCAAACTCAACTCAAGACCTTCAGTCGCGGATGAAACGGCGGTGGAAGTACAAGATTTCCTCAAGAATCATGTACACGCGTTCGATGTCAAGATGCTTGTGTCTTATAACCTCAAGAAGGGGCGCATATCACGAGATGTGTTGGTGATGACTTTGATATACAACCAGAAGCTGACTTCATTAGACGCTCGAAAACATAGTCAGGACTGCAACAGTGGCCATGCCAGTGCACAAGCGGGAACATATTTGTCACAATCACAAGATGCTCGCAATCAGGTTGACTGTGCGAGTGCGTACACGTCCGATAGCGATTCTGATATGAATATGGCATTAGAAATGGACAATAGTGTGCCTGCTGGTAATCTACAGTTCATTGATCCATCATACCAATCAGATAAGAATCCACTTGACTCGAGCGAATTGCCTTCACGAAGACGGACACAAGCAGAAAACGAGTTATCGGTTGAAAAGGACATTAAAATCAAGAAGTTTGGAAAGTTGCGACCCCGAGAGGTCGCAGAGTGTGAGGCGGTGCTCTCCTGTTCACAGTGCCGATTCCTGGGGTGTCTTATACTGGCGTCCAAGTATACTGAGGACACAGTGACCAGTAATAAGCAATGGGCTGACAGTACGCGCATGCCGGTGTGGTATGTGAACAAAATCGAACGCCACTTGTTGTACAGATTGGAGTTCAATCTACATGTCCCGGGAAATCTGTGGGACAAATGGTGCAAGGTGGTGTACGCACAGGTGCTCAGCACTATGGGATTTCCCACGGATCCTACGGCTGTAGGTCTGCTAAATACACAGTTCAGTGACACCAACACACACGATCTGATTTCTGCAGCAAGGCGCAGGGTGACTACATACGCCTCAGAGGTGGGTACAGGGGTAATTAGTAATGTAGCCTCTATGCTGCCTGCCCCAGCTGCTGCATTTGCTGCACCGGTTATCGCGACATACTTCCCTAAATTTAGTAATGGGCAGATCAAATCCGGAGAGAGTGATATAGAAAACGTGACACAGGGAAGCCCAGAAGTGTCCCAGTTACAACAGCAATCCGGCAATATGGGAGAGATTCAGTCGACAGAAAGGAATGGTGTACCTCAATGTGATTTCAGTTACCAGCAACAACAGATGCAGCAACGGATGCAGCAACAGCAGCAACAGCAGCACCAACAACAACAACAGGTACAAGAACAACAAGAACAACAGCAGGTGCAACAACAACAACAACAGCAGCAACAACTTCAAGAACAACAGCAACATCTACAACAACAACAGCAGCAACAACTGCAAGAGCAAGAGCAACAACAACACCAAAACAACATTCAGGAACAACTGCAGCAGCAACAGCAGCAACAGCAGCAACAGAAACAACAACAGCTACTGCAACAACAACAACTTCAGCAACTTCAATTACAGGAACATTTGCATCAGCAGTTCGAGCAGCAGAAGCAGGAGCATATTCGCCAGCAAATGCAACTGCAGTACGAGATGCAACAACAATACGCCGAGCAACAAGCTAACCAGCAACAGCCGTCAGACCCCGAGGTCCAATGGCGATACCAAGAACACTACGAACACCGTCAGAGAGAGCTTGAGGCTCAGCAGTATCGAGAACGGCAGTCGTTTCGGGAGACTCAGCGAAAGCAGTATGAAGACTATTTGAGAGGTAAGTCAACTCAGCCACAGCAGCAAACGCAGATGCAGCCACACGCGCACGACAGGGCCCAAGCACTCATCATGTCGAACAGCCGAGAACTCTCGGGCGATCGCATACAGCATCAGCAGCACATGGGGTTGCCACCACAGCGTGGACCGCCTACGCCATTACAGGTATTGTCACCGTATCTGTCACTTTCGTATATGGGGGGTGATACGGCGGCGCGCACGTCGGCCCTACAAGTACCCAGACCGCACTCAGAACCACCCACCCTGTCAAACATTAACCAAATCGGCAGTATCGCATACCCCATCCCTTTAAGAACCCCTCAGCTCGTACCTCAAGATAGAATGGACATCTATCAGCAATAGAACATAATGCGTACTGACTGTACGTTGGGTCCCAGGCAAGCTATATAATTGGAAAGTGTATAGTTGTTCAGCATCGGCAGTTCGGTAGACCCACAATTGATGTCTCCGACCCACGTGATATTGGTGTTGGACAGCAGCATCGACATGGGTTGGTTCTTTGGCTAGGGGGTTCATACCTACTATGTGCTTGTGATCATACTCTCAAGCAAGTTTGCGTGGTGGCTTACTTGTGAATGTTTGGCGTAGTTGTCCACTCAATGCATATATGTGAAATATCGAAATTAGAAAACCGTCTTTCACAGCCTGTGCACTTTAGATTTGGAGGTAATCAAAGAGATAAATGATTTCACCTCTGGGAGTGCTGCCAACCCGGATGGGAGCATTGAATGACCGTGATGAATCATCCACTTATTAGTAGCTAGGAGTAGTATTAAAACACTGATAATATTTTAAGTATACGTGCATACATATTTCAATCGCGACCTGTGCACCAAGTCTTCATATTTGAGTTGCTAGAGAATCTGTGAGCCTGAGGGGATCTATAACACGACAGTCTCATGCATGTCCCATAAAAAATTAGCTCATATGGTTTGCACTTTCTTCCTTTTTATGAAAATAGCCTATATACAGATATATACATAAACCTGCTCAGGACCACAGGTCTCAACGTACATATTGACATTGCATAAATTGTCCGCGGTCGTTTGTGATGCAGAGCCTAGGCTACACAATGTATTTAAACGAGTTCGATTAATCTATTGACCTTGCCATCTCCACGTGTACGAAGGCTTGAAATATATGGGAAAGGTGCCGTAAGGCGTAAGGTCCTAAGCATCTTCAACATATCTTTAAGTAATTTTTTTTTGGTGATTGACACCTCAGGTGTAGATCCGACAGTGATATACAGAGCTCGATGAAGGTATTCTGCTTCAAGCTGCTTCAGAGGAATCCGCGAAGGACGCAATGCCGGTCCAGCATGAAAACAGGCCCCCACTCGATTTTTGTCATGGCTAATATTGGAATGGAAAGGATTCAGCAGGGTCTTTCTCTTTGGTCTCTGTGTTTATTACATATTTAGGACCTTCATCTACATTTTAGTATGACCGCCTTGTTAACTACCCGCAGTCAATGTCAGCTCATCCGGCGTGTGAAGAATCCATATATCCTTCAGGATCGGAGCATACAACCCGCGACAGACGGGTAGTTCGAGAGTGTACCATATGTGCCTATGATCTTTCCCACAACCTACAGAGCACATTTTCTAGATCAAATAATGGCCCAGAACCCATCCGCCAATCGCTGCAGCAGCCAGAATGTATTGGCTCGTGCCGTCTTTCTTAGCACCACTCGGGCGCTTTGTTCCGCTGATGTGATCTGATGCGATGGCTGCGTTTGTGGACCCTCTCTGCTGGTGCAAATAGACAAAATAAAATAAAATTTAATGCGATGTTTCGGGGATACAAATAGATAGTGATGAATAAGTGTCAAATAGTGTAGCCATGAACAGCTAGAAATCTTGCAACGAACGCACTTGCAAAATTTATTACGCCATTGTCAAAGAATCAAATAGCATAGTAAGTCCGACGTTGTGTTGAAGCAAAGTTGTCACGCGAACAACCTGCAACAACTTACAACTTGTGGCATATAAATGTAAGATACTCATACCTTCAGCAAGTCCAGATCTTTCCTAAGTGTGTTATTTATCTTCGTGAGTCTTGCATTCTCCTCTTTAAACTGTTAAGAGTGGATTCAAGCGAAGATTTGTTTAGAGGTCGAGGATGAGGAGTGGGGAATGAGAATCACGCCAGAAATTTACCACCTCCTCAGTGGCGACAAACGCACAGTGATTTACACAAACTGTGCGTGAGAAACACGACTCGATCTTCACTACCAATTCAAAATTGGATAATACAGTCGATGAGAGAAAGCGAGCCTGTGTTTTTTATTTCGCTATACATATACATACTCATATACAACTTCAAGCAAGCTTGAGGATGACATAAACTAGAAATCATTTACTGATATGTACACACATATGTTCGTGTAGTACATAAATATGCACAATACGAAATACAGAGTTGGGCGGGTAAGCACGCGTCAGTGCATTAGCTTGAGGTTGACATAACTAGAAATCATTTACTGATTTGTACACACATATGTTCGTGTAGTACATAAATATGCACAATACGAAATACAGAGTTGGGCGGGTAAGCACGCGTCAGTGCATTAGCTTGAGGTTGACATGACTAGAAATCATTTACTGATTTGTACACACATATGTACGTGTAGTACATAAATATGCACAATACGAAATACAGAGTTGGGCGGGCAAGCACGCGTCAGTGCATTAATATACTCCAGTGATTATGAACAAATACGTGTGCAAAGTAGAATACATATGGCTATGCTAATCTGACTGGGAGTTTTATTATGTACTAAAATAAACATATAGACACATATCTCTTAAAAACTATTGTTGGTCTGAAAAGGCTTACTATGACCAATACATCAATAACATCAGTACAGGGTGCATTTAGATAGAAAATTGATCCGCAGATTGCCCACTCTGGCAAGTCGCATCGGAATACCGTAGATATGTTTCGTACACACCCACAAACAAAGCTCAAACCAAGATATATACCTTGTGTTGTACAATTGGAAACAAAAATGAACCTACACACACATGTACACACATACACACACACACACACACACATATATATATATATATATTGGAAAGTACATGTAATTGAAACCTAAAAGTACAACTATATGGACATAAAAAAAACCCCCACACACATTAGAAACACACACAGAGATAAATATATACACTTGTATAAACAAATGCTTATACATAAAAAAAATACACACAATATACAAACACGCACACGCACGCACACACATATATATAACATGCATGCATACACATATACATATGCGTTTGCATATACATAACGATAGACAAATACATAATACACACACGCACACACGCACACACACATATATAACATGCATGCACACACCTATACATATACGTTTGCATATACATAACAATAGACATATACACAATACACACACAAACACGCACACACGCACACACACACACACACACACACACATATATATATATATATAAACGTACACATCTACATATATACATTTCAATATACATATACATATAAATACACGTATATATATACATATATATCTCCATATACATATACAATACATACACACACACACACACACATATATATATATATATATATATATATATATATATATATATATATATATATATATACACATATATATATATATATATATATATATATATATATATATATATATATATATATATATATATATATATATATATATATATATATATA